GCTGCTGGGCCGAGCAAAGAGACACATGTCCGAGAGTAAAAACATAATCCTAAACTGCCCTGGCAACAGAGGGACGTTTCCTTCTCCCCCCCAGTTCATCTCATGTGAAAACAGCCGAACACAAATATTTTAAAAACTCCCAGTAGCAGGAATTCGAGTGTATCAGCACTGCGGGCACCCGCCATGAATTTGTTTTAGAGAAGATGTGACCCAACTGGTGTCAAGTGTGAAAGTTTGCATCTTCTCCCTGGCAAGACTTCAAATCCTCTGAAAAACCGACTTGAAATCAAGTATTAAATGGGGACATCTAGGGGAAATACGCGACGGTGCAGGCGTGCTTGACAACATCTCTGTTTTTAACAGAAGGCTTAGTGGTAAATGGTTGTCCAGGCAAACCTCAGTGATACCAACACCGCTCACACCAGCGTGTGTATTTTGCCCTGTATACACAATTTCGCCCTGTATATCCCAACAACGAGCCCGGAGTGGGGGTACGGGAGGGGGTGCGTTTGCACGCTCCATCCTGATGTGTGATGCAGGCGCAACTCAGCACAGGCTCTTGCTTCGAGAACATCTGGGCTTGGTGATTTCTCATTAGTTCCCTGATATATTATACCCTAGGGCACGGGGACTGATCGACACCTCTCCTTGTCTTTGGTGCTACGAAAAACTGGGTTTGTCCCAGTATGATCAGCCCTCACATTTCTATGGGGAATTTCCCGATACTGATGCTTGAAATACTTTTTAAAACTCTGGTTCCTGGAAATTTGTGGCTGTACGAGAATTTCAGCTGCCTTTTTTGAAGAAAGTTTCATGTTCCCCTTCTTCTTCCCTTCTCCCCACTGAGCTGTAGGAAAAACAAGCTGAAAATGCAACCCAAGTATGTCCCTGAAACAGAAAGAAGCTGAAAATAATTGAGCGCTTTTTTTCACTTAACTTCATGGGTTTTGGATGTGATCTGATACAATGCGTGGATTTGGCAATACTGGAGCAAGGACAGAATAGAACAGAACCTTTGCAGTGTAGGTGGATGCCCTGTAGACTGTCTGAGAGTAGGCTGATCAAATCGGGGCTCAGAGAGGTGATTTCTCTGCTGGCATAAATTTTGCAAACTCAAGTTACCCCTTTGAAAGTTTCTGAGCCACTCTGACTCAGCACAGCATTTTGGGGGCTGTGGCATTTTTTATCCAGTGCTTGATAGCCTATAAGCAGATTTGCTATCTCTTGGCTCCATAGCCAAAGGGAATCAGCCATTTGAATTCTTTCCACCCATTTCTTGCAGAAAGCTCACAGGTGTCAAACCAAGTCAGCAAACAGGTTAATTATCTATCAATTAATTACTTCTTACTGTTTCTCAAGTGATAAATAAGAGAAAGAGAATATAAACTCCAAAAATGCAAAAAACTTTGCAAATCTGCCCCAAGCTCCTGGGAGCACCCCTGATCCTACAGACAGATGATCATGAGCACCACCATGCTCATACGACCACTCAGAGTCCGCACAGCCAGCAGCACGCATCAGCAGGGCTCAGCTCTCGCTCAGCATTACAACCCAAGGAGAAGAAACTGCTGACCTGACTGCAAGACTACATACAGCTCCGCGTTTTAAGTGTTGGGTTACAGATGGTCCGTCGACCAAAGTAAGCCAGTGGAGTTTGATTGTATTAGTGTTATTCCTGGTATAGATTGGGTGTAAGGAATAAGGAGCACTTTCAATGGTTATTGCTGTGCTGGATTGGACTCATTCTGGGTTGGAAGAGGAATATAAACACTTCATATAAGAGAGGTTCAGCTTCCTACCAGCTAACTTGAACAAGAAATTGGGCATTCGAAAGCAGCCATCTCTGAGCCATAGCTCCCAGACACATTGCACAGGACACTGTCAGGTACTGGAAACTAGAAACATCCAAGCCCTGGCTAAGGGGAAAAGCAAAGCCCTGCAGTGGCTGCTACGTAGGACCTCCTCAGCACGGACCAACAGACTTTGGGGTACTTGTCTGAGGTTGAGATTTGCATTACGGTCTAAAATAAATCCTTCAGTCTGTGCTATCATTCACATTTTAATCAGATTTGATGTTCTTGAGCACTGTAAGAATAATTTCTGTCACTTGATTTTAGTACGTATTAGCCTTTAATGCTGAATGGAAGGGGAGAAGGGGAGCCTTTGCCTCCACATCTGAGGGGAATTCTTGAAAATGTGGAAAAAGCACTGAAGTCGTGGGACGGAGGTTGCGTCTGGTTCTAGGGCAGAATTTTCCTTCTGTGAGGGGTCATTGCCATGGCGCTAATTCTGTTTTGCTGATCTTCCACGGCCAACTGAGGTGAAGCTGAAATCTGGATGTTTTCTGCAGCATCTGCGTTTAGATGAAGTATACTGCTTGTTGTCAGTAAGAAATACCGCAGAGCTGGCAGAGTATTTCCAGCTCCTGGATGTTCATTGAAAGAATTACCTTAACAGTAAGTACTTCTAAAAACGTGATTGGCATTACTGCTCTAAAATTACAGGCCCTGAGTAATGTTTTGAAGAGAGATACACAGAACGCTGTATCGCTTAGGATTTAAAACCAGCGATCACAGACACTACAAATATTGCACTTCAGATGTTACAACAAATGCAGCACTCTGTAATACTAATTAACTAGCAGCTTCGTTAATACGAGTGCTTGGCAATACCACAAAAAGCTTTCGGATACAGCATATATCAGTGTGTCCTCCCTGCTCTATCATGCCCCGGCTGTTCTGGAAGGTTACATGGCCTGGCTACTCCTGCATCAGCTTCTGAAGTATGTACAGCTCGGGGGACCATGCAGAGCCACTGAGGTGCATTTTCAGCTCACATCGAAGGTATTCCTTTCCCCTTCCCCCTTCCATTGCCTCCTTCCCTGTTTGTGAGACAGAAAAAGGTCCAAAAGCCTACGAAACCTGTTTGATTTTATGGTATTATCGTCCTCTGCATCCCCGCAGCACGCAAAGCCACAGGCTTGCTAGTACTGCACAAACATGATAACCAGGTCCTGGCACGACGAGCAGATAATCGACATAGGAAAAACCCAAGCCAGCCATAAAGCAGATCTTTACAGCTGCGCAAGTGAGATGGCAGGAACACAGGGCAAGAGGGGATTTCTGGCTCACTGAAGCTAATTCCTTAGTACTGCAGCAACCTCATCATGTAATCCTTTCCATAAACCGATCGTGCTCCGTGTTAGAAAGCAGGTGGGTTTCTTGCCAATAGTGTCCTCCGCGTGAGGCTCTTTGCAACCCCCGTCCGCTGGTTTACAGCTTCCCTACCTCCCACCTGCAGTTCTTCAGCCTATTCCCATGTTTCTGGTTTGTTGGAAAAGTCCTTTTTCCTCCAGGAAGAGGAAGAAAGACAGAAAATTATAAACACTTTAACATTGCCTTCTGTGCAGAAATCACAGATGCCCCTTTCATAAATCAGGCCATCTTATTAATACTGTTCTAATAATTCTGAACAGTATCTCTTGTCTGCTACTGTGTTTTAACTGCCTCTGCAACCTGTCTGGGAGCAGCGGGCATTTAAAATAAAATAAATCCTGCTAATTATTGCTCTCAGCTTTGTGCAGACGATGCCTTAGAGCTCACTGTTTTCCAGATCTGCAGTTTTATTGCTTTCTCCGTTACGTGATCGACCTGAATAAGGACCAGATCATGCTGCTGTTCAACTTGCTGGACCGAAACACGAGGGGGAGGATTTGCTTTAATGAGTTCTACGTGGTGGCATGCATCCTCCTGTCCCACAAGGTGTGTACCCTGCGGGTCCTGGAGTCGGTACAGGGACATCTGCACCATCCAACACCCCTGTAAAGGGAGCCAGCTCACTGGAGCTGATCTTTACTCATGCCATACAAGGGATGGAGAGGATCCCTGGGTCTATACTGCTGCATAGAAAAGGAAACCAGAGAAACGAGCAGTCCCCCTGTTAATACCAACCTTGCTCCTCTGGGATAAATCCACCCCTGAACCTTTTGCAAGGTAGGAACTGTCTAAACACTCCTCCCAGCTCAGGCTGTCCATCTTAGTTCTCCAAAAAACAAGCCCTCGGTTGCGTCTACCTGTGGGGAAGAGAGCAGAGCATCTGTTTTCGCTTGTAGGTGCAGCATGTGCTGATGCCCTTCTTCAGCCTCCCCGGCATCACCTGCAGCCCAGGCTGGGGAAAGACCAGTGCCTTTTCAGGGAAAAGCAGCAAGGACAGCAGGCTGCGGTGAGGAAGAGGGGTGGTAAAGCCAGGGTTACCCCCAGCTCAGCCTTGCTGTTGGACATGCAGCTCCGCTCTGGACCAGACACCCGGCTGAGGGCCAGCGCTCCAGGCTGCTGCCTGCAGGACTTAGGGAGGAAGGAGAGGAGCCAACTGCGGAACGTAGCCCTGCAAGTCATTTTGGCACATGGGAGGGATGGGAAAGGACCTCACAAAGCAGTCTTGGAGCTTGGCTGGCTGCCAGTAGCTCTCCCCGGCACAGCCCGAACCCAGCCGGCAACTGCCGCGTGCTCCCGCGTGGCTCCGCAGCAGGAAGCACCAGGATTTTGGTATTTCCTGCAGGCGCAACTAGCGGGAGGTCACCTTTATTCTCTGGACTCGAGCACAGTTGGTATTCCACCTATTCTTTCCAAGCAGGAAATCAGTGCTTATCATCTGTTTCTAAACCTTTCTGCCCCGAAACAGAACCATCTTGAAAAGCAGTTCATCCACCAGCACGCAGGACCTGCCTTTCAACTGCTGGATGTAGACGGGGATAATATGATTGATTTCAATGACTTTGAAGCCACAAGGTTTCTCTTCAACATCCAGCAAGAAGAACTTAAGAAGATATTCAAGGACTTTGATATTTCTGGAGGTGAGGTAAAATTAGAGAAATTACAGTCAAAAGATAGGCTGTGAAAATGCCCCTAAATTCAAAATTAATCCTTGGGCTTAATTTTGCACTGCAGCCTGCAGCTGCTTCTCACTCAAGCCTGAGTTTTCTTCCTGTTGACTTCAGGAGCGGGTCTTCGGTGACTTACCACACAGTCTGAATTGAAAATGTTTTAACAGTAAGATAGCAACAGGAAGAAATAATTTTTTGGGGGTAAACCAGGCACATTCCTCTGTCTGAGGAGACTCTAATGGGAGGAGGTGGGCAGGACTGGCAGAATTGCCTTTATTTAAGCCATTTTCGTCTGAGTTTACTTGTGGCTTCTCATTACTTTCCAAGCTCTCTGCAGTCCATTCTCAGAGCTGCTGGCCGGGGGGTACCTCGGTGGGGTACTCTCAGACTTGAAACTCCTAGAAACATTACGAGTGCCGTACCTTGGCTTATGCCCGAACCATAGAGATGCCAGTTAAGAGCCCCAGGGGAAGCTCTCTTCTCGGAGAAATCCCTCATTTTGACCTTAAACCAGCTCCAGGTTCCACAGAGGGGCCGTAGGGACCTCACCCATCCCTGCCCCATGGCGGGGAGCAGCTCCCTGCAACCAGAAAGGGAACAAAGCTGGTAACAGCACCTCCCCTCCAGCTCTGCATTTCCACAGTCCTACTTATGGAAGTGTAACACCCATCCCTTGCCAATTTGCTTTTGCCACCAGCTCACTTTTGTCCCTGTCTGGTCACCGGTGCTCTTTCAGATGCCTCCCTGCTCTGAAGTACTCTCTGATTAATGACCACCTGCAGCTACACTGGTAGGGAATCAGTCATAAATAGACTGTAGACATCTCTTATCTCTGTCACAGCTTCACACCATCCTCATGACTTCAGCATTTCAGCATGCTCCAGGAGCACATTTAGCAAGACAGCCATTAGTAACCGAGGGAGATCCCTTTTCTTTCTCCTTTCTGCTGCTAGGTTCCCAGGTTATTGTTTTTATTGATAATTCTCCTCCTCTGCGTTCCACCACCAGTATCCTCATCAGTTATTTGTTACAGGCAGTTGTTGCATCTCTCCTGTAAGCCCTGCAGGGCTCGCAGCCTGTTTCCTGTGTGGTTCAGCGGCGCAGCGAGGCATCAAAGCCCCAGTCCTGCTCGGGGCCTGCAGATAGCTCTCTAATGCCCTCAGAGTAGTTTCCCGGCATAAGCTGTTTCAGCCCCAAATTGCATTGATCCTGTCCTTTCATCTCGAGGCCGCCTGATTAAAAGGCCACTTTAAGCAGGAGCAGCATGGCTGTGATAGAGCCGTGACGGCACCCCGCTCCCCACTTCCACCCGGCCACACCGTAACCCCAGCTGTTACGAATCACTCCAACATCTGCAAGTCATTACAAATGGTAGAGAAACAGCCATGTGCCAGGGAGGTGACCTATTACCCTGTAACATGTTCGGGATGAGCCAGAGGCAATCGCTTGAAACCAATTTCTCCTGAGTCAGTTGGGAACCTAGAGCAAGTTGGAGAAGGGGACGAGAGCCAGGACTCGGGGTCTTTCCCTGAAATAACTGTTTACCTTGGGCAAGGCTGCCTTGCTAAGCTAGGGATCTATCTCTTCTCCAAAACTAGCAATGGAACTACAGGGAATTCAAGATGTTTGCAGTCTTCTGTATTGACAAACAACAACAAAAAGGAAGGGGATCATGAATAGCCTCCTAGCAGGATCAGCGAGCCTGGGCAAGAACCCTTTACCCAGCTGGGAGTAATGCAGCCTTGCTTCTCCGTCGCCCTGGTTTCAGGCCAGATAGGCGTACCAAACTTATAGAAAGTAAATAAATCAAAGTGCTGCAGTAAAGCAATTGCCTGTTCTGTTTTCTCCATTGCACATTGCCACTGCTCTGCCAAGGGAGCACCAGAACTGGTGTCCGAGGAGGAGGGACTGATGCAACTTGGATTTCAGCCTCGTGCCTCACAACTCTCCCCAGGACTGAGCCTGATGTCGGCGTTATCTTCCCCCCTGCACTACTTCTTGGTTTTTTAGAGACAACCTCTTCCCCTCCCCTACGTTACACACTGGTCTAGCGAGTTCCCTCCTCCCCAGCGTTGCCGTTTTGCCACGTTCAGACGCACACAAAGCAAGGCTGGTTTGAAATGGGGCAGACTGGTCTGTGAGGCTGGAGCCACTCACGCTGGCAGCTTCCCCCTCTGCATCCCCCGGGCTCGGGCAGCTCCCTGCATCCGTGCTGCTGTGCTCCTGAGGAACAGCCCAACGACAGGAAACGCTGCTTGCTTTGTTAACGAAACCCCCTAATTAAGTCCATGTGGAGAGAAAGCAAGAAAGGCAGTTTAGTTTCTCATGCTAAATATTGACTGTTTACCCTTTGGGCACAGCAATCCAGTGAATTTATTTTCCCCTCTCACCTTACACACAGGGCATCACATCATTGAGCCTCCTCCAAACTCGCTGCCATCAGAGAGCTTCCCTAACGAAGCAGCATGGCTGCAGCATAAGGGACTAATTAGAACAGAAAATTCCAGTCTCCAAGTGCTGCCACTGACCTCCCATGAAGTGAGGTTTCGGCACGCCTGTAAGGCGGCATCCCACCTCTCAGACCTTTGCAATTGCTCTGAGTCCAGAGAAAACAAACTACGTAGCTGAAATCCCAACTTTCTGGGATTATTCAGAGAAAGAGAGAACACAACGAACCACTCTTTGCAGAGCTCAGTACCTTTTCCATAAGTTACCTTGATATTTTTAGCCCAGATTTGGAGGGACCAGCCACCCCGAGCTTTCAGCCACATGCTCCCTACAGCATCCCCAGTGACTCTGGAGTTTCTGCACTGACCAGGGCTGTTATCCCAGTATAAGAAGCAGCAAAATCAGGTCTGCCGTTAAAGACCATTTCCCTTAGTGCTGTCTCTGGAGCTCAGCACCAGGCATTAACACAGCACCGGTCCGGCAGGAGCACAGACCAAGCGGGTCGGGTGTGTTGAACAAACTGGGATGCAGCTTTAGCCAGCAGAAAGCAATCAGAGTTTGGCACAGGGCCAGGAGCAAGGGTGCAACATCCACCACAGGGCAGAAACCCCGTGCTAGTCGTAGCACGTTATGCAACGTCATATAGTGAGATATAGGTCAATGAAATATAAATATAGGCACAATATAAACATTAATTATGTTATATGTTAATTAGGAATAAACACCGTAATCTATGTAACGTAGCTCTATAAATCATACAGTCTTCTCCCCTAAGCTCTAGACTAGACTATGTCGGTTGGAAGGGACCTACAACGATCATCTAGTCCACCTGCCTGACCACTTCAGGGCTGACCAAAAGTTAAAGCAAATTATTAAGGGCATTGTCCAAATGCCTCTTAAACACTGACAGGCATGGGGCATCAACCATCTCTCTAGGAAGCCTGTTCCAGCGTTTGACCACCCTCACAGTAAAGAAATGCTTCCTAATGTCCTATCTAAACCTCCCCTGGCGCAGCTTTGAACCATTCCCACACATCCGTCACTGGATACCAGGGAGATGAGCACGTCCCTCTCCACCCTACAGCTCGTATGCTGTAGGCTGTGAAGCAGCACTTGATTTCACTGCTTGCAGCAGCGACCGAGAAAATTTCAACTCTTGTGCGCTTTTGACCTAGAATCCACATCCTTTTGGGGTTTTGCTTAGGTCAACAGTCAGCCCAGAGTTCCCCAGTCCATTTCATACACCAAAATGTGCTACAGCTGCAGACCAAAGCTCGGTGTGGTGCGGTGTGGGTATGCACACAGGCGACAACACGAGACGGACATCCCTCTTACTACTTGACAAGGGACCACACTTTGGTCAACTGGAAGGTGGGTAAAGAAAGATCGCACGTAGTTTTATAATCCTGGTGTTTGAGGACATCAGCTCTGAGAACTTCTCTGTCGATGCTGGGGAGGTGGAAGCAGGGTTGTCTCATGGTTCAGAACAAATGGCTACAAACAAGCTTTTGTACATCTTATTTTACATATATATACCCACACATAAAAGGGAGTATGTATATATAAAAGAGAATATATATACTCACACATATAAAAGGAATACATACATATATATGGGAAAAAGTTAAAAAGTTCCAGGAAAATCACCTGCTTATTTGTTTATAACTCACATCATAAATTCTACCATGAAATTACCCTAAGATAAAAAGAAAAAAAATTGAAATGTTTAGCTGTGATAACATTAGACCAAAGTCGCCTACAGAAAAATTATTCCTACTCCTCTGATACATGAGGTAGTTAATCAAGACTATAAAAGTGGTGACCTGAATTAAGACATGTCAGTTAATGTAATTATAGGACAATTACACAGATCCATTATTTTGCACTGTTCACCAAGGAGCCAGAAGCACATCTGCAGACGCGGGAGCCGGGAACAGAGGAGGTTCACGCTGGATGTCTGAGCACATCTCCAGGCACTGCATTCTCCACGGACTGTACACTTTATTTGCAAGATAAAACATTGTCACACATCAAAATTATTACCAAAACATGTCTCTAGGGTATCAGGCAGGTAATGAAAAAGTTGCAGAGCTCCAGCTCAGAATAAAAAGCCCTATTGAAGAAATTTAAAAGGAAAAACAACACTGAGTTTATGTCTTAAGGCATGGCATTTCCAGGATTACTTTTATTTTTTAAATGCAGGGGAAAAAAAAGTTTCTCTTTTTTGTTTTAAATACAGGAAATTTTGTACAGCATTTCTGATAGAAGTTCATGACGGTTTGCTCTCAATGGTTAAAAGATCTTCTCTAGGTTAAAAAAAAAATAAATCACATAATTTAACAGTCTAAGGACAACCTACTTGTGCTTTGCAGTTGATTAAAAATATGTGCACACACACTACTGCGATATGTCAACCAAGAAACAGAGGTACAACATAAAAAAATACATAATGCATTTTAAAAGTTACCTGATGTTCACAGCAGCTTTATATTGGCCTAGAATTCTTCATTGACTGGAGGAGCCAGGGAGGGGAAAAAAGTTAAAAAGCATGTTTTACACAACTGGTATATTTGTTTCTAAAAGATTTTATAGAACTTACAGGGGGGGAAAAAAAAGGTCACGTCACTGGAATCCCCTCGCCCTTGTTTCACTGTGTGCTGGAGCTGTGTATTTTCTGTGTCAGTACCAAATCTAGCACCGTATCCTACGTAATACGAATGTTTGTTACATGGCACACACAAACAAACCGCATACAAAACGTTTTACCATAAAAATGAAGATATTTATTCAAGAAGTACAAATTTGATGGTACCAGCCATCTTTGAAAGCCATTACCATGAGGCAGAGAGGACACAAACCAAAGTCTCTTGCTCAGAGCATATGAAAGCAAGTCTCTCACAAATTGCCAGCTAATGCAGTCATTTCAATCATTGCTCAAAAGCCACCTCCACTTTTTAAACATTCCCTGGACTTAAGAGAGGCACAAATAGGGTTTTTAATACAAGTTAGTTATTTTAATAAAGCCAACAGCTAAAATTTATTTTGTTTTAAATTTCCTTAAATTGTCTCCAGCCTTTGACTGGATTCAAATTTCCTAAAGAAAAAAAGGGACTTGGGAACGAGCAGGTGCAGAATTTTTGGAGCTCAAGATGAACTAAAAGTTTTAAGGCAGGAGTCAGGATTTTAAGTTCTCTATTTGCCCCATGGCTCTGATCAAATGGTCTTCATCTGTAAAATATACAAATACAGAGTTCTACCGGATAAATACCCAACAAGTGGTCCTGCTTGGAGGGCAGGAACATACTTCTTCACAGAGAGTCCAGTGGACACGTTTATTAATAGTCTCAAAATCCACGGTAAGAAGCCCGCTGGTTGAAACATCTCATCTTCCAACTATTTGACTTTTGTAGGCTCAGTGGCACGTATCTCCCTTGGAAGGAGAGCTATAGCTCCATCTCCTATGAACAAGAGCAACACACACGCGGCTACGGAGTATCTAAGCGGATGAAATATGGGAGAGCCATTTGCAGAACAGAGCAATCAAAAACACTTTATGAGAAGGAAAAGTCTTAAAGCAGGCAGACTTGTATATACAGTCATTAACCAACAGAAGTGTTTGTAGCTGCAGATATAATAGCAGGACATTCATCTTCTTTGGGAGAAGACAGAAGCACGGTTGCTGGAAAGTTTAACTCAAAGGCTTCCTAGATCAGTTAACTTGCAAGGCAGACCACCAACATCTAGTGGGTTTGAAGCAGATTTTTTTCTTTTTCGAAGAAAGTTGCAGAGCGTACGAAGCTCATCCCCCCACCCAAAGCAAGTTTTCAAAAACACCTTTCTCAAAAACCTCTACATCCTACTCCAGGAGAGCGCAAGCTGTCCAAGAGCTGCCAGCCATCATCCAGGAGGGAGTCAGAATTACAGGGGAAGTGGTGAAGGGCAAAGGAAAAAAAGCCCCTTTTTCTAACAGAGACTACTTTCATTTCAACATAACAGGATCTGAGCAGCACAGCGTAAAAGCCAACAATTTTTTTTTTTTTTTTTTTTTAAATGTAAACATTCTCTGCATAAGGTGCAGGGTCTTGGATGTATTTACAGTGACATAGAAAAGAGTTTGTAAAATATAGATCAAGAGTCAGAAATGTAGCTACCACTTACGCTTCTGAAGAAGATAGAAATGGAGAAACATA